GTGTGTGTGTGTGTGTGTGTGTGTGTGTGTGTGTGTGTGTGTGTGTGTGTGTGTGTGTGTGTGTGTGTGTGTGTGTGTGTGTGTGTGTGTGTGATGGGGTCTGAAGTCGAGACTAGTGCTCTACCCCTTGAGCCACAGCGCCACTTCCAGCTTTTTCCACGTATGTGGTGCTGAGGAATCGAACCCAGGGACTCATGCATGCAAGGCAAGCCTCTACCACTGAGCCACCTTCCCAGCCCCATGCCGTTTGTTTTCTATTCCTCTGCAAATGTGTGCTGAGTTTGCACTAGCTGCAGGTGCTGTGCTGGATCCTTGGGGCTCCCGGCAGAGGGAGGACTAACCCAAGACCTGCCAATGCAGAGAGGGGCGGCTTTTGGAGGAGCCATGAGATGACTGAAGCAGCGGTGCCAGGGAGGAGTCTGGGCAAGGGCAGAGCCTGGGCAAAGGCTCAGCAAGCATGCTGTGGCCTTCGTGGCTGGGGCTGTGTCACAGGCGGAGGTGGGAGGTGGGGCAGGGCTGCTGGAACCGTGGAAGCGGGGCGGAGCTGTTGGGGAGTGTGGCTGCTGCTGTGGCCGGCAGGGGACGGCCCTGGGACGGACAGCAGCGGCTGGATCAGACCCGCTGTTGCAGAAGGAAAGGGGGACCCGGGCTGCTCCTCAGCTAGGCCCAGCTCGTGGCGGTTCCTAAGCTCTTGCTAGTGTATGTAGCCACCGCCATCACCACCACAACCCCCAGGGAAGATGGGGTAGGACTTAGACTTCAACATAGTGTGTCTGAGAAGCGAGTGGGAACGCAGGGGACCTTCTGCACGGAAGCTCAGGCAGAGGACAGTGGGGATTGGTGGCCACGTTGGATAGAGGGTAGAACACTGGAGTGTGAGCCATGCCTGCGCCTCGAAGCTCCAGGGTTGGAGAAGGGACAGGGTGAGACAGGGCTTGTGCAGAGAAGCCTCCGGCGTCAGGAGGGAAGGCCTCCACAATCAGCCCTTCCCCAGTTGGGGCACGCAGGAGGCCAGCCCCTGCCAGGTGGCCACAGTAGCCTCTTGGGGGCTCCCACTCTTGGACTCCATGCTTTCCTCCTTGAACCTGACTCTATGGGCTGTCAGAAGTGAGGAGCTGGGGCTCGGAGCACGCTGAGCGAGCACTGCTGTGGCCTCAGAGTCGCCCAGAGCCACTGGAGCTCCCACGCCCTCCCCCGGGCCGCCCGGCCCTGCAGTGCCCAGTTGGCTGTTCTTGGCTCTCACCAGGAGGTGGCGACAGGCATGCTCCAGCCATGCAGAAGGGAAGTGTGCTGGCTACAGGTGAGGGTCCAGGAGCCGGAGTTGGGAGCAGCCTGCTGCCACCTGGATGTGGCTCTAAGCAGCTGCCCTGGAGAAAGACAAGGTTCTCTGCCACTCCCGGGCCAACGCGTGCCTGGTACAGTTGTACAGTTCCCAGCTGCCACCAGAAGCCCAACCCTGGGTTTGGGTTCCTCCAGGAGGAACCTGGAGCCATGCCAAGCCCCAGGGTGAGTCCTGTGGCCTTGGGAACAATACTCAGACATGCTAGATTCCAGGCAGCAAGAGGCCTGGACTCTGGTCCCTGGCTCCCCTTGTTAGGAACACGGGGGACAGGTGTGGCCAACCACAACACAAAAGTCCTTCCTGCTTGCTGGGATCTGTTTTATAGATAACTATTGCAGGACCCTAACCCAAGAAGTAAGGACTCTTCACCTGAGGAGCCTTCGCTTGCCTCTGCCTGGGGAAGCCGAGCCCAGGCAGAGACAAGCTTCGGTCTGAAGTGGGGCCTGGGACATTGGAGCAGTGTGGTCAGGGAGGCCTTTGGGGAGGAGACATCCAAGTCAAGCACAGATCTATATCCTGTCAGCCGGGCCAGGGAGGGGCCGGCTTTCTTCAGCCAGGGACTTCACATCCACCTTGCTGAGTAGGAGTTAGCACAGCGTTGCCGGAGTCCAGGGCCGGGGATGTGGTGATGGCGTTGGGTCCCCCAGAGAAGGGGCTCAGCAAGCCGTGGATGCACTTTGAAGCCCACTGACCGCGTGCCTCTCTCCCCGGGCTGCAGGTCCCACCCCACGTGCAGTCTGATGCCCGTCCGGCCCTCTGACCCCCTGGAATGGAATGAGCCTATGCACCCCCTCCGGATCAGCGTGGGGGGCCTTCCCGTGCTGGCGTCCATGACCAAGGCCGCGGACCCCCGCTTCCGCCCCCGCTGGAGGGTGATCCTGACTTTCTTCGTGGGTGTTGCCCTACTCTGGCTGCTCTACTCACACCGTCCGGCCCCGAGCAGGCCCCCCCCTCACAATGCACACAACTGGAGGCCTGGCCGCCCGCCCGCCACCCGGTACAATGACACCTACCCCCTGTCGGCCCCCCAGAGGACACCAGGAGGGATTCGGTATCGGATCGCAGTCATTGCCGACCTGGACACGGAGTCCAGGGCTCAGGAGGAGAACACCTGGTTTAGTTATCTGAAGAAGGGCTATCTGACCCTGTCAGACAGCGGGGACAAGGTGGCTGTGGAGTGGGACAAAGACCACGGGGTCCTGGAGACCCACCTGTCGGAGAAGGGGCGGGGCATGGAGCTCTCGGACCTGATCGTCTTCAATGGGAAACTCTACTCTGTGGACGACCGGACGGGGGTCATCTACCAGATCGAGGGCACCAAGGCTGTGCCCTGGGTGATCCTGTCTGATGGTGATGGAACAGAGGAGAAAGGTAAGGGGAGCTGCTATCCAGGCAGCTCCTGTCTGGCTGGGCGCTCAAGAGACAGATGGCCGCGCTTTGTTCTGAACTTGAAGCAAAGATCCACGTGTCCAGAAAGGAGGCTGCTTCCTCCCTGTGAGCCCCCGTGCTCTGAGTTGTGCCCCCTAGCCCTGAGGGAAAGCTTTACTGACCTCACCTAGAGCAGCTTCTAGGTTTGATCTGACCCCTAGCAGCCTGCCAGAGAGAGCAACTCCTTCACAGTAGGCTCTAGTAGGTGTGGAGGACCTGTTTTCTACCAGAAGCCTTTGGGTATTTGTCACTCATTCATGGCCATGTAAAGTGACCAGTACAGACCGATGGCCACAGGCAGCATAATGCCTGTCCTGTCGCAAGCCTTCCCCGAGCCCTTAGGGCTGCGTCCACTGCCCCTGACCGCCCTGACCAGGATTCTGATGTTCAGGGCTGTGGCTCATGCTGGGGTTACACCCAACAGATGCCTCACCTTGAAAACCACACAGGCCAGTGTTCTCAGATTGAACTGGGACTGATTTCAGTTCATGAAACCTGGGTCAACCCCAGCTGCCACGCAGGGTCGCAGAGCCACAGGGCGGGCCAGCATGGCCAGAGTGCTCATGCCTGGAAGGAGGCTGGGGAGGACTTGCCTTGAGTGACCCGGCACCAGGCTACAGTATCCCTGGTGTCTGCCAAGGTGGGCAGTTGGCAGAGACGTGTCCGTGTAGGTGTCAGAGTCTTCACCCCCATTCCCTGCACACCGCCATCATGTGGACCTGTGCTTCCCCCAAGAAGTGGAGGGAATCGGGCAGTGGAGGCTTTGGGGCTGGTCCATGGCCCAGACACTCGGTAAAGGGGGCAGCTTGTCTAGAATGTGGCTCAGAGGACCCAGGAAGCCACCTGCAGAGAAACATCTGGAGGCTTCCAGGAGGGGGCGAAGCAAGGAAGTCCCGAGACAGAGATGCAGGTTTGGAGGGTGAGGCAGTAGCAGCCTGGAGGCGGGGCCAGGGAGGAGAGTGCCCAAAGAGCCGCTGGGAGGACACCTGTGTGGCGGCCTGCGCAGCCAGGTGAATGAGGCCGCTGGCAAAGCAGACCCGGCTCCTGAATGCATTCACCCAGATGAAGACGGTCCCCTCAACCCTCTGGCGCGGCACGGCTGCAGAGCCCTTCACACTGGCCTGTGCGGGCTGGGGCGGGGTTGGGGACTGGGGGCCCAGTTTGAGGAACAGGAATCGGGGGTCTTAGCCACCTTCGGGAAGGGGGCTGCAATAGAGGAGGGCAGGAGCGAGGTCCTGCACAAGCCACACAGGAGGCAGGGCCTCCAGGGCAGGAGGGAAGGGGAGAGGCGGGAGGGAGACGGGTGCTGACTCCCACATCGGGGCTGGAGGCTGCACAGGCTCCTCCTCTGCTCCACTCGCCTCCTCCTGGCTCCAGGTAGTGACTTGGGACTGCTGGACACCAGGTCCCAGAGCAGGGCTGGCCCGTGTCCCAGGCAGGCCCCTCACGCCTCTCCTCTCGTCGTCCCAGGCTTCAAAGCTGAGTGGCTGGCCGTGAAGGATGAGCACCTGTACGTGGGCGGCCTGGGCAAGGAGTGGACCACCACCACGGGGGAGGTGATGAACGAGAACCCCGAGTGGGTGAAGGTGGTGGGCCACAAGGGCAGCGTGGACCACGAGAACTGGGTGTCCAGCTACAACGCTCTGAGGGCCGCCGCTGGGATCCGGCCGCCAGGTAAGAGCCGTGGGATGAGGTGGGCTGGCCGGTGTCCATTCCCACCGTTCCCCAGGCCAGGGGGTTCTGAAACAACTCAGCCGTTTTCTCTTGTGTGCCTCAAGAGTCCTGACTGAGCACCCCAGGTCCCCACGGCCAGCAGCGCCCATGGGCACACAAATGCAGCTCTGGTTAGGGAAGCCTGGACTCCATTCCAGGTGCTTGAAGTCCCAGGCCTGCCCTCCTCTCGGCTCTCCCGGGGCCCTTGGTTTCTGGATTGGAGGATGCCTGGACAGTCTGCCCCCCCGTGCAGGGGTGTGACAGGCAGAGCAGGGAGTTTGTCCCAGCAGTGCTCTGTCCAGAGCAGGGCAGGACCAGGCTTCCTTCCACTTTGCCAGGGCCTCCACCAGTTCTGCCCACAGCCAGATCTGCTCCTTGGTGTTATCTCTTCTCTGCACCAAAGTGTAAAAGGAAAGATAACTTGTAGAGGCTCCAGGCCCTCTGGGGACAGCTGGGGGCGGGGGAGGGGGGCGGAGGGAACACTAAAGGTTCACTGTCCACTCTCTGTGCTTGCTCGGTGTTACTCCAGATAATGGAGAGCAGCTGGAGACTAAACCCTTCAGGAAGCTGAGGACATAGAGGGAAATAAAGCCAGGCCCTGAGGCTTACCGCCTCAGCTCTCCTGTTGTGAACCATGCGGGCCCCAGAAGGATAGGCTATCACCCCACAGGAGGGGGTGACCGGGTCTGTACTGTGTCCCCAGCCTACCCGGTCTGTGAATCTGTCCATTAGAGGACAGGCCACGCTGCCCCAGCCTACCCAGTCTGTGAATCTGTCCACTGCAGGACGGGCCACGCCACCCCACGGGAGGGGGTGACCGGGTCTGTGCTGTGTCTGCAGGCTACCTGATCCATGAATCCGCCTGCTGGAGTGACACACTGCAGCGCTGGTTCTTCCTGCCGCGCAGGGCCAGCCACGAGCGGTACAGCGAGAAGGAGGATGAGCAGAGGGGCACCAACCTCCTCCTGAGCGCCGCCCCCGACTTCGGGGACATCTCCGTCAGCCGCGTGGGGGAGCTGGTGCCCACCCACGGCTTCTCCTCCTTCAAGTTCATCCCCAACACCGATGACCAGATCATCCTGGCCCTCAAGTCCGAAGAGGACAGCGGCAGGATCGCCACCTACATCATGGCCTTCACTCTCGACGGCCGGCTCCTCCTGCCGGAGACCAAGGTCGGAAGCGTGAAGTACGAAGGAATAGAGTTCATCTAAGCCGGCCCATTCCCACGTCAAGTGCGGCTGAAGGCTGGATGGTATTAGCAGCGTCAGGACTCGATTTGTATAAAAACTGGAGGAGCATGCTTTGATTTGGCTTTTCCTTTTGGTAACCATGAGGAGTCCATCTAGCCTAGCGATTTCCAGAATGGAGAGTTCCTCAGGACAAGTGCAGCAGCCGGGGTGTGACATCCTGGCACCGGGAAAGGCAGCGGTCACGCAGCAGTCACTTTGTCCCTGAGTGCCTGACCGGGGCTTCTGCACACTGCCTCACGGGTGTACAGAATGGCCCCTGAGGACACCCTGCCTGGGGCTCTGGCCCAGAATTCCCTGCGCCCTACCTCCTTCCATGCCACCTCCCATGCCTTCCGCTGTGTTCTCTGTTCTGTGACTGTGGGAGCACTTGGTGTGTCCCCCGTCCTGGGAGCAGGCCCCTCTTCTTCCTCCTTGTCAGCCAGGTCCCACACACCCCTGCAAGACCCCTGGAAAGTGAATGTTTACACTGTGGGAACGGCCTGGCCACAGGGGCCCAGGCCCCTGAGGGCCGGCTGCCTGATTTGTCCATTCAGCGTATGTTCCCTACCGAGCTGCTCCTGACCCGCACACCTTCCCACCACCACGACGCCGCCCTTCAGGAGGGCGCGAGGGCTGTGTGACACTTGCAGTTTAATTATTAACTTATTTTTATTAAAGTGGTTTCTTAATAAGCAATCACCAGATTCTGTCATCTAGAGCAGTCATGGTGAGCAGCCAGGGGGCTGCAGCCAAGCAGCCACGGAAGACAGAGCAAATTTGCTGCCGGTTTCTGAGCCCTTGGGCTCTGCTCTTCCTGGCAACCTGCAGAAAGTGAAATGTCCTTCAGACTGTCACCGCGACGTGAATGTGTTCCGCCCTGGGTCCTGACGGGGGTCTGCTCGTTCTCGAGATTGTCCCTGTCCTGTCCCAGGGTTTGTCCCCCGGGGCCCTTCCCCCCTCTTCCCAGGGGGAGTTTCCTGCAGGCCGAGGCCCCATTGCTCCTACGGCCTCTTCTTGAAGCTCCAGGCACGGGTGAGGAGGGCAGCTGGGCATGCTGGACCATGCCCATTCTAGAAAGAAAGGACTCACCCACCCATCCCACACCAGCACCGAGGGCAGGGAAGAGCCACCGCCCGGGAGGGAAGGGCCTGTGCCTGCCCTGGCCCTGGTGGACCTCCTGGGCCTCTTCCGCCAGGCAGGAAGCCTGCAGGGTCTCCTGTCGGGCCTGCCCTCCCTGTCAGACCCACCTGAGACAGCTCTAGGCCCGGCTTCTGCCTCGGCCAACGGGCCGCGAGCCCGCCTGGAAAGTGGCGTTCGCTGCGCCACCTACAGCACAGAGATAGGAGGAACAGGCCAGGGACTTGGGACTTGGCCCATCGGGGCTTTCTGTGTGTTCCTGCGGGCTTCCCCAGCATCTGGGGTTTTCAGGTTGTACAGTTGCCCCTTTCTTGCCCTCTCCTCCAGGCTGTCAGCAAAATGATTGTGTCCCTCCCTCCCCTATCTGTTTCTTGTCCACAATAAAGTGTCCAAGAAAGTGAGCGCCCCCTGGTGTCCGGTCTGTGATGGCTGCTGGGAGGTGGCTGGCTGGGGGGGAAGAGGGGGAGGGGGCAGAGAGGGGGAGGGGGGTGCGGCAGCACAGGCTCCAGGGACAGGCCCTCCCCAGTGGGTCCATCTTGAGCCCATCACCGGACAGCTTCCCAGGACTGGACGGGCAGGGGCAGAGGTTCCAGACTCCGGCGTGGCTCTGAGCTGTCAGTGCTGCGTGGCTGGGACAGATCTCACCTCCCTCCTGTGTCCTCTCAGAAAGGAAGGTTTCCCGGAGCTGCCTTGTGCCTGAGGTGATCTGGGAGCGAGTTGAGTCCCGGGAGGGCTCAGGAGATGACCCAGCCCAGGCCACGCGCGGCCCCCCTCATGCTCCTGCAGATGGGGAGATGAGGTGGCACGAGGCCACCCAGGCAGGGGTCAGTGGCGTGTGTGGTCAGTCTGCCTTCTGAGGGTACAGAGGAGTCACGCCAAAACCTTGTCACCACCCCCAGAGGAAGGAGTGGCATCAACGCACCATTCCTTCTCGCAGAAGGGACAAAGCTCCCTTCAGATGGTCACGAAGGAAGCGTGTCCTCAAAGGTGAGCATAGCCAGGGTAGATAAGAGACACGCCAGGCTGGGGAGTCCAGGCCTGGCCGTGTCCACGTGGTCCCTGGGCTTGGATCCAGGAGAGCCAAGGGCCCCAGGCCAGGCTGGGGCTGCCTGGCAGGCTGAGGAACTACAAGCCCAAGGCAGAAGCCCTGAGGAGTTCGGGTGGCTCTTCCTGTCGCTGGTTCCTAGCACCACAGGCCTGGGCCTGGGGGCCCTTGGGGCCTCGGTGATGAGGGGTGGGGGCGCTGGGCCCCAGACCTGCTGAGACTAAAACTCCCCTGCCACACTCCCTGCAGCCGCCCCTGCCCCTGGGGCCATGTCACCAGCCAAGGTCATAGCGGAAAGCCTCACACCTGGGGAAAAGGTCACGGAAAAGCTGACCGCTGCAAGGCCTGTGGCCTACCTCTCCTGGGCTCGAGGTTTCTTGTGGGGGACTCAGGACCCCGGCCCCAGCCTGAGGCTGCACACAGCTCTGGGCCTTGGCTGTTTGTGACACACAGGTGGGAGCATGTGCAGCTCCAGGGCTGAGCACAGGGGGCTCCCCAGGAGGAAAGGAGGTACTGATTACACGCAGGGGCTGGCTGGGTGGGAGCCAGCAGTGCTGGGGACGTCCACTGGCGGGCTGCGTGCACGCGCTGTAGGAACGTCAGGAGAGAACGCGTGGAGTGTGATGGGCCAGGTTCGCAGCCTCCCTGGGCACCTTGTCCCCAGGGCTCAGGCCTCCCCGCCCCTGGAAGGAGTCGGAGTCACCCAGCGGCTGGACAGGATTCCCTCCATGTCCAGGGCTCCATGAACTGCTTGCAGTTTAACTTAGGCACTAGCCGGTGCGTTAGCCCCGGGAGACACTGGAGGGCTGGGTCAGCACCCGAGCCGCCGGTCAGGCTGCCGGTGCCGGCTGTCCTGCCAGCGCTGCAGCTCCTCAGCTCCTGCTGCTCCCATCTTCCCTTCTGGCCCCACTACTGAGAAAGAAGTGGGCCCAAGGTCTCTTGTCTGCAGCCAACCCCAGAAGAAGGTCTGGTCATGTGGTTTCTGCAAATCGAAACTAGACGGGGCTTTCTGAGCATTTCCTGGGACCAGCCCAGCACAGTCCATCCCTGGAGGACTGCAGCTCCAGCGGCACTCGGCACTCGCACTCGGCAGGTGAGCTCCGCCTCTGGCTCTCAGGTGGGAACCCCTCTCTCTGCAGTGTCACGGGCGAGGGGACACCTTCCTGTTTACACCCACACCTGCAGGGGGTGGGGGTCCAGAGCCCCTGAGTCTGGGAACCATCTCTGTTAGGCCTTAGGCCTCTGCGAGCAGCTGGGCAGGCTGCACACCACGCAGAGGCCCACCCAGAGGGGCGAGCTAGTTGGAGTTTGGCCCTCAGCCCTCTCTTGGGTCTGTACATTCCAGCCCAGGTCTGAACATGTCTGAATGCAGAACTCCTTTTCCTAATTTGCACAAAGGTGCCATGAAGGCCAGCACAGGAATCCTTGTCGCAACCTCCCTGGGTAGGAGTCAGCCACCATCCAGAGCGCAGCTACATCCAACCCGGGGCCAGGGGTTGGGCCCCAGTCCCAGGATAAACAAAGCTGGTGGCCACAGCGCTCGCTTGCCCTGGCCCCTCTGGGACTAACTGAGGTTTCCCAGGACACAGCACCCCTGTGGGAACGCTGAGATGGTCTCAGAACAGGCGTGGAGTGTCCTGACACCCCCGGCCTCCACGAAGGCTGTGGAAGGAAGGCCCCCGGGCTCTCAAGCCATGCAATGGGGAGCAGACTAACTTCTCCGCTTGAGCTCGTTTGTGAAGTAGGGTTCTTTCCCAGGGGTCACAGTAAGTCCCAGGGCGGCCGTACTGGAGAGGGGCAGGGACCCCTGGTTCCAATACAGAAGGATGAGGAGCTTCCATTCCATGCTTCCTGCCATTCTCTGCATGCGGCCACGGCACCTCACGCTGAGCAGCATGAACCAGGCTGGAAGTCAAGAAGCAAGCACCCGCCGTGCGGAGGCTCGAGCCTGAGATCCTCACTACCTGGAGGCGGGGAGGGTGGAGATAGAGCAGGGGCAGGAAAGAGAAAACCACAGTTTAAGGCCAGTCCAGGAAGAAAAGTTTGAGAGACTCCATCTCACTTAATGGCTGAGCACAGTGCGCACACCTGTGATCCCAGGCAGGCAACACAGTAGTTGGATATGTTGATACACACCTGTCATTCCAGAGGCACGGGGATGTGTAAATAGCAGGATCTCAGCCCAGGCCAACCAGGATGTAAAATAAGACACTAACCTGAAATAACCTAAGCCAAAAACGGCTGGAGGTATGGCTTAAGTGGTAGAACACCTACCTGTTTTGCAAGCATAAGGCCCTGAATTCAATCTCCAGTACTGTAAAGAAGAGGAGGAGGAAAGGGGGAGGAGGAGGAAGAAGAGGAGGGGAAGGAAGGGGGGAGGAAGAGGAGTGGAAAGGAGGAGAGGAGAAAGAGGAGGGGGAAGAGGGGGGAGATGAAGGGGAGGGGGAGGAGGCCTCAAGAACTGAACAGGAATAATGGGCCAGTGAGGTGGTGCACATCTGCCGTCCTAAATATTCATGAAGTGGAGGCAGAAGGATCAAGATCTGAGGCCAGCCCTGGTCAAGACCTTACTTAGAAAATAAAGCCAAGAGGACATGGAGCATGGCTCAAGTGGTAGAGCAGATCCTAGCCAGTGTGAAGACCAGGGTTCAAACTCCAGCATCTAAAACAAACAAGTAAAGGTGTGGCTCAAGTGGTAGAGCACCAGCCTTGAAGTGAGAAAAGCTGACCGCTCTCTCAGTTCTCCTTTCTAGAAGACACCCCCTCTGCCCAGCCCACCAGTCCCGTCCCCTCCCCCCAGCCCACCTGCCCCACCCTCCAGACTTCAGCATGGACCCCCTCAGCAGCCCGAGCTCTTCAGGAGAGGCACGCCTGACACCCCAGCCCTTTGGGAGCTGGGAGGCGGGGTGGACAGATGGACAGAAGGACAGAGCAGATCAGGGCTGAGGGCCGCTTCCTTCTTCGGCAGGCTCGGCGTCCACGTGAGCCATGGCGCTCCTGTGGCTTCTCTGGCCGTGGCTGCTGGCCTCGGGGATGCAAGGTGAGGGGCAGCTGGGAGCCGGTCTGAGCGGAGGGCCGCGGAGCCCCCGCAGCCTTGCTCTGCAGAAGCAGAGGACCCAGAGGGGCCCGGCCTGGGGGGGGCCTGGGGGGGCTGGGGGGCCTGGGCGGGGCCTGGGGGGCCTGGGCGGGGCCTGGGCGGGGCCTGGGCGGGGCCTGGGCGGGGCCTGGGCGGGGCCTGGGCGGGGCCTGGGCGGGGCCTGGGCGGGGCCTGGGCGGGGCCTGGGGGCGGGGCCTGGTCCCTTGAGTTTCAGCAGGCTAGCAGGTACTCGTGGCCATTTCCAGGAGGGTAAGAATGGGGTTTCAGGTCTCAGAGTAAGTAAGCGGCCGAGCCCTGGCCCTCACGGCACGCGGCCGCCGGTGTCCCTGCCAGGAACCGGAGGTGATTATGTCCTCGACCTCTCCGGGGAGCTGCCTGGAGCCCTGGCTCAGATCTTCAACAGCCAGCAGGACTGTGACCTGTTCATCCTGGTGATGGGGCAGGTAGAGCTCCACTTCTGCGCCCACCGGCTGATCCTGGCTGCCAACCCCGAGGCCCAGGCCCTGTGGGGGGAGCCCGGCCCGAACGTCACCATGAGCGTGGACTCCGAGTGTGCGCCCTACATGGAGGACCTCATCAGGTAAGTCAGCCGCACTCTCCCTTCCAGAAGCATCCTCCAGAACGAGGGGCCAGGCAGTGCGCGCAGTTGACGAGAACACAATCACACGTGCGCGCGTGTGCACACACACACACATAACACACAAGAGCTGTGTGCACAGCTGCTACCAGGTCTTGAGAGTCCCTTACAGACAAGGAAGGCGAGACGCCCGAAGGCTGAGCTGCAGCCCCAGGAGAGCGTCCACCCCGCCCCGGCATCTCTCTGTGTCTCCCCACGAGAGAACTGCATGGCTTTGTTTTCTAAAGCAGAACATTTTTTTTGAAGATTTTTTGTTGTTGTTGGTCGTGGGGCTTGAACTCTGGGCCTGGGCACTGTCCCTCAGCTCTTCAGCTCAAGGTAAGCGCTCTACCTCTTGAGCCACAGCGCCACTTCTGGTTTTCTGGTGGTTCATTGGAGATAAGATTCTCACAGAGTTTCCTGCCCGGGCTGACTTTGAATCACAGTCCTTGGATCTTAGCCTCCTGACTAGCTAGGATGACAGGCGTAAGCCACTAACGCCCAGCGACTTTTTTCTTTTTTGGTTAGTGGTAGGGCTTGAACCCAGGGCCTAAGCACTGTTCCTGAGTTTGTCTATGCTTGAGGCTAGTACTCTACCACTTGAGCCACAGGGCCACTTCCAGTTTTTGTGTAGTTCATTGGAGATAAGAGTCTCATGGCAACTCCCCTGCCTGGGCTGGCTTCAAACTTCCATCCTTAGATAGCCTCCTTAGAGAGGGCTGGTGGAGGCCTGTCCCTGCCCTGAGTGGGCAGTGATGTCCCCAGCAGGGACCCGTGGATGTGGCCGAAGAAGGTCTGCATACAGGAAGGACGAGGCGGAGGCCCTCTACCTGGCTGGTGGACACAGTGAAAGCAGAGGCTGCCCACTGTCCGGTGTGGATGGGTGCCCGCCCGAACCCAGCAGGGCCGCAGGGGTCTAGCATGGACATGCTGCGGGGCGGAGGGTCGGAGCCCTGTGCAGGACCAGCTCACGCCCGCCAGCCATGTCCACGGGTCATTGTAGTGGCTGCCGCTGTGGCCACCCCCTCCCCATGGCCCAACATGAGATGTGGGGCTTGCACTGTGGGGAGACCAGCAGGCACTGGCACCGCAGCATGTGGGGTGGGTTCTCAGTGGGTCGGTGGTGAGGTCACAGTGGACCGCCATGTTGGGGATGCCCAGGGTATGGCTGTTGTCCTGTGGGGCGGCCACCACTGTCTCTGCCCCCACCCCTCCCCTGTCCTCCTCCTCCCCCTCCCCCAGGTACTTCTACTCCCGGAGGATCGAGGTCTCCCTGTCATCCGTCAAGTGCTTCCACAAGCTGGCCTCTGCCTTTGGGGCCACCGAGCTGCAGGCCTACTGTGGACAGCTCTTCGCCACCTTCCTCCCCGAGGACCCGTCCTTCCACAAGGCCCTGGATCTCTACGCCTATGCGCGGGCCTCCGGGGACCCCGTGCTGGAGGAGCTGTGCGTGCAGTTCCTGGCCTGGAACTTGGAGAACCTGACCCAGGCCGAGGTCTGGACAAGCATCCCCCAATCCTTACTGGAGGCCCTGCTCCCCAGGAGCGAGCTGGCCGTGTCCAGCGAGCTGGCCCTGCTGCAGGCCGTAGACGTGTGGAGCCGGGAGCAGGGCGCCTCCCCGGGGGATGTGGAGGGCCTGGTGGAGCACATCCGGTTCCCCATGATGGCGCCCGAGGACCTCTTTGAGCTGCAGTTCACGCTGCCCCTGTACCAGAGGCACGAGGTGCTGTTCCAGAGCAAGATCCTGCAGGCTCTGGAGTTCCACACGGTGCCGCTGCCGCTGCTGCTCCGGCACTACGGCCTCAACCTCACCTCCGAGGCCTACATGCCCCGCGCCTACACCGCCGCCAACTGGAGCGCGTCCGTCACCAACGGTTCCTGGGCCGCACATGCCCAGTGGGACTATCCTTCCAGAGCTCCATTTGTCTACAGAAAACAACTGGGCTACAGATACAGCTATCTCTATTCTCCCTACCAGTCCTTCCAGACCCCCCTGCACCCCAGCTTTCTCTTCCGGGACCAACTGGTCTCCTGGTCTCTCGTCTACCTGGGACGGATGCAAGACTGCTGGAACTATGGCTTCTCCTGCACCTCCGACGAGCTCCCGGCCCTGGGCCTCACGCGCTCCGGTGCCTGGGACCCCACCGTCGGCTACGACAACAAGGCCCTCATGCTCTGCGACGGGGACCTCGTGGTGGACGTGGCCGACTTCCAGGGCTCCAAGGCCCCCATCCCCAGCGCCCTGGACACCAACAGCTCCAGGAGAGCCTCGTCCTTCCCCTGTGCCTCGGGGTCATTCAGCAGCTACCAAGTGGTCATCCGCCCCTTCTACTTCATCAACTCCACCGGCCTAGAGTAGATGGTGACCCGAGGTGGGGAGGGTGGTGCCAGGAGAGGTGGGGGAGCTGCAGGGTCCCCCCCTTCTGCCTCCCTCCCCTTCTGCAGCCACCTCCCCCACCAGCCACCAGGTGTCCCCCTGCTCCCATCCCTCTCCCTGAGCTTACAGAAATTACTAGAAAGTTTGTGCTGGTTTTCAGGGACCCCCGGGGTGCAGCCTGTGCTACCCCCATTGCTGCTCCCGGTCATTAAAATCTCGTTGCACTCCTCCCGTGTGTGTTTGTGCAGGGAGGGGTGCTGGGCTTAGCCAGGCGTGGATGTGTTTGGACGTCAGATGTGTGGGTGCTGGTGAGTGGGAAGGAGCTGGGGCCCCAGCTTGTGAGGAGGCTGGGGGCCAGCAGGGGAAACAGGCAAGAAAAACGGAAGCCCCAGTCTGGGGTGGGGGGGAGGGTTGAAAAGAGAGAAGAGGGCTGTGGGGCGGGGGGCGCAGAGTAGCCAGGGCTGGGCTGCCCCTCCACCCTTAGACCAGGGAGGTCCCTGGGAAGCAATGGCCCGTGCTGGGCCGGGGAGGCAGGGTCTCTCCTCTGCCAGCCATTGCATGGGTGTCCAAGGAACAGGGACAAAGCGTCATGTCTCCGCATGACACCCGTAGTGAAGAACTGGAACCAGCCGGCGTCAGCCGGCAGCTTGACCACAAGTAAGAGTCACACACAGGGGGTGAGGGTGGGGCAGAAGAGGCGTGTGTGGGGAGGCGCTGGGAGACCCATGGGGGCCGGGGGGTGAGCCAGGGCGTGGGCCTGGACACCACAGCCCGCAAGGCAGCGGGGATTCTAACATGGCCTTTCTGGGCAGGGGGAACAGGGCCTGACCAGGCAGAGGCCAGGGCCGGCCCTTCTCCCTCAGGCTCAGAGAAAACTTGACTCCAGAGCCAGGTGGTGGCCAGAACCCCTCCCCACTTCGTGGGATGGAGAAGCCCAGGCTAGCGGCTGAGGCTGCAGGCCTGAGCGCCTGGCCTGGCCTGGCTGTCTGAGGTGTCTGCAGTGCTGGGGGTGTGGGAAGCGTTCTCTAAGCTCTGGCCCTCGGAGATGGCCCGCAGCCTCCCGAACCTGGGGAGCGAGATCGCGGCTTTCTGGGGTGTGGGGATGGAAAGCACACTTCATGTCAGGATTTCTGGATTCTTGTCTCTGCCTCACCCTGAGGAAGTCTCCGGTCCCCAGGGAGTCTGGCTTGCTGCGGCCTGTCCAGCAGATCGATAGCCCCGCCCCCAGCCCTCCACCTGCACACAAGGCCGGACCTCTCTGGAGGAGGCACCTGTGCCCCCCACTGTTTGGCTGTAGCGTCACATTGTGAAAACATGGAACACCAAGGACTCGTGTGGGAGTTTTCCTTATATTCTAATGGGAAGAAAGCAGGGGGGCTGCCAGTGGGCAAATCACCACGGCCTTCACCTGGAACCATCAGCCCCAGATGACCTGTGGTCCCCAGTGGCTGCTGGGGTTCTGGCCATCACATCTGTCTTTGAGGCAACAGATGGAGGTAGCAGAAAAGGATAAGGGGTTACCTATCAGCCAAGACTGTCTATTTAAGTTTTCTTCCTAGCCTACTATGCACTGGATCAAACTGTGCTCAGTTTTCAGCTTCCCCTTGTGCTGCCTCTGTGTGAGATCTGAGCCACACAAAGTGTGACCTTTCGGAGGGTGATTTGGGTGTGAGCTGGGAATTGGAGCTTGTGCTAGTCCCTCTGATTCTCCACACAGCCTGCAAGCAGTAGCTTCTGGTTTGCCATGCTGGACCTCTGGAGAGGCCAGCCCGCCCGGGCAGTGACAGATCCTAGGGTGCAGAAACCATGCCGTGGGTGAGTGGCACGCACAAAGCCGAGCCCACTGGCACGGCGAGGAGCTTGATTTGCTTAGACGCCCAGGTGATCACTGCCCGCGAGCTGCTGGACGCTCTCCTTTGCTGCACCACAGAAGGCTGAGGGGTCTGCGCTCCCCAGACACCCCCCCCGCCCACTCCACGGAGATGAACTTCACACAAGGGAACACAGCGCCATTGGTCCCGTTACTCTGGTAGCCAGCTTAGAAATTCACACTATGATTCGACTATGCAATCGTTAATGTCTGTTGTGTGTTAGGGTTGTTTACATTTAGGTTATCTTGGATACAACGCAGGATACATGTTTTAAGTAAATACGAAGTGGAGTACGTACTATGTGCTTGGAGCTATGATGAACACTTTCTGTCGAGTGTGGCTTTCCAGTCTGAGTCATACCTTGGGACGGTGTATCTTTTACTTCACCAAGTTTCTCTTTGAGCCGTGTTTGTGGTTGTCATTTATTTTCTCACACCAGGGCTTGAATTCAAGGTCTTGAACTCACTGAGCTCTGCTGGCAGGGCTGGTGCCCTACCACTTGAGCCATGCCCCCAGCCTGACTCTTTCTGGTTATTTTGGTGAAGGAGTTTTACAGACTTTTCTTCCCAAGGCTGGCCTCAAACAATGATCCTCCTCAGTAGTGAAGATTGCATGCTTGCGCCACTCCTAATGGCTGATTGGGCTACGAATTCATCGATGGGTGAACCCGTCACTGAAGTTAGTGTGCTCAGAACCAGGGCACTTCTTCAAAGCCTGGCACCAAGACTTCCACACAAGAGCCCTTGGCTGGGGGTGGGGGGGGAGACACTATATTTTTGGACATTTACACCACAACTGACTTTGAAATGACCGATTGCTTTTTGTTCTTCCTGCTGTCCTCAGCCTTTTCTGTCCAGAAACCCAACCTCTACTCAAGTCTTGGAACGCTTCATTTTACGTCATGACGTACTTCCCCGTTCCAGAATTACAAAACAAGGCCCACGAAGATCTTTCAAGTCACGTTGGGGGTCATTGTGTCCCGCCAGCAGTGGAGGAGGAGGCTGGACCAGGAGGTCTGGGGGGAACGGAGCCTCCTCTTGCCTCAGTGGCTGCCGGGAATGCCAGCCTCGCCGGCTGGGACTGCCTGGCCCTTTGCAGACCCTCAGCCGGAGGAAGTGTGTTACGCCGCCGCCGCTGCCGTGTGGAATACCATCCAGCTGGGGAGAAGGGCCCTCGCTGGAGACAATATAGCATTATGAGGAGACCGCACCTCGCGAGAGCTGCCCACGGAGGCCATGCCCCTGGCAGTGACCTCCTCGTCCCCTCCACTTACCAGTCTGGGTGGACAGGGCTGGTGTGTTGTGGGGGGAGGGTACAAAACCTGCGTTAGCTTCTCTGGGGAAGAAGCTCCCCGTGGGCCCCTCCTGCTGTGCATATGGCTCCCCCAAAGTGCTCTCCTCCTCGCTGGGCACCAGCGCCTCACACCTGTCACCCTGGCTATTCCAGAGTTGGAGATCTGAGGGTCAAAGTGCAAAGCCAGTCCAGGCAGGAAAGTCCATGCGATTCCTATCTCCAACTAACTAGCAAAAAGCTGGAGGTGGAGGTGTGGCTCGAGGGGTAGAACAGCAGCCTTGACAAAAAGGAAGCCCCAGTTCCTGTATGAGAAAAATAATGATAATAATACCAGAAAGTTCTGTCCTTCCTTAGAGCTCTGCCTCAGACGCAGGCCGTACCTGGCTGGCGTGGGGCCGGGCGTGTGGGAGCTTCCTGGCCCCGGTGCCCCCACCCCGCCCGTCCGGCTGCGAGGAAGGTGGCTGGGCCCGGGCCTCCGTGGGAGCTGGACAGAAAAGGTCTGATGTGGCAGCAGCTGATCTAGAGTGAGCGCGGCTGGTGGAGCCAAGCCCGCGAGGTTACTCAACAGCGGGGGTGGCGGGCCGCCAGCGTTGCGAGTGTCCCACGCCCTGCCCGTGAGTACCCAGGGCGAGTCCCCAAGGCCCGCAGGGGAGAGCGCCAGGGGACCAGGGCTGGGATGTCGTGAACAATGAAAAACATACACAGCTGCCCTTCATCCCTGTGTCTGGCTCTGAGCTCCTCAGACCTTTGGGGGCTTCCTGGGGGGGGGCAGAGGTGGGCATCCTGCCAATCTCGTCTGCACTTACGCTGGCGCGGGGAGCCCCAGGCAGCCTCAGGATGGGGGGACAGCTGAGTCCGTCTCCAGTGGCCATGCTAGGCTGGAACCACAGACCCCACAGCAAAGGACCGGGGCCGGGGCGGGGGTCGCTGAGCTGGTGAACATTCCAGACTGCACAGGAAGAGCATCTCTGCCCCGAGGCCTCTGGACCTTCCCCTGTGAGCTCGAACCTGCAGCCGTTCCTGTGTGTCTGACATGGTTGGTAATAAACCAGCAAAGGCAAAACAAGTGGATGCTGGTTCTGTGAGCCGCTCTAGGTAATGACTGAGCATGAGAGAGAGAGAGAGAGAGGGAGAGGGAGAGAGAGAGAGAGAGAGAGAAGGAAATTGGGCCAGTGGGACAGGGGTGGGGGCACTGGGCTCCGGCGGCTCAGGCTGGACTTGGGGAGTCTTGCTGAGCGGCCCTTTCTCTGGCTCAGCATCGGCTCAAAGCAGTTCATGTGGGACTGGGCTGGGAGGGCGGACGCCCGGCTGGTGTCTGCCCTGGAGAAGGGGACACGGTCACCTGGCATGGACGAGGCAGAGCAGCTGAGGCCGTGGAGCCATGGGAGAAAGGTGAGCGGGAAGCAGGCCGGGCAGAAGGAAGCAGCTGTCTGGGTTGGACTGTGGCCTAATGAGAGCCAAGGAGAGGGTGCCCAGGCCCAGGGGCTCAGAAGGCCAGCGCCTCAGGGACAGAGCAGCTGCATTTGCTGGGGACCGGCATGGGGCCCCACAACCAGGCAGAGGTTGGGCGGGGGGCTGAGCATCCGAGGCCTGACCCCTCCGTGAACGGCGCTCCCCGAGCACTCCGAGAATCCTTCTGTGTCCCAATCCCCACCCCCACCACGCACCCAAAGCCACCCTCCCTCCAGGGGAGCTGTGATGTGGGGACAGACAAAGGGACACACGGCCCCGTGTCTGCGTCCGTCGTGGGCCGGGCCAGGCTCAGGGGCAGCTGGGCACACATCTGGAACCCACCAAGCCAGCT